ACTTCTTGATTTGGTGATATTATTCAGGGGGAGGGCTACGGGCACCCTAGAACTCTGTCTAGAACAAAGAGGCTCTCCTGTTGCTCTGCAGATCACTCATTCCCCATCTGCTTCCAACTGCAGTTCTAAATCTGAATAAATAGGTGCTGTCCCGTCACAGTGTTTATTTTTAATACTTGCTCTGCAGTTATCTGCATCAGGACATTTCGTGGCTCTGCAGCTTTTATTGAGCACTATATTAAACAGGTATAAACTCAGACAAAATGCCAAGAGAATGATAAACTAGGGACATTTCTGAGTCTTTCCATGGAAAATGGCTAGAAGGACGAACTGAGCTGATTGCTTTTCAGAAGGTTGATGTTGCACTGAGCACGCCACCAGGGCACTCGCTCAAGTGTGCTTAGTTTGTCACATTCTTGACTTCGATGATGCTTAGGTTTTCTTCCAGAATGACTCCTAAATGGGAACATGCATTTAAGATCCTGTCAGCACAGAGGGATGCAGCTGCAGCCAGTTTTGTTTTACTTTCTATGGAGCAGGTCTGCCATGATGTGGACTGTCATCTCATAGCTGCCCTAGAAAAGGAGGACAACCTGTAGACACAGACCAAAATTCATATTGTTAGCTGCTTATAAATTCATATTGGCCTTTAGGATCGGCTATAATACCTTAGCATCTTGCAAAGGTATTTTATGATTGGCTCTGCTAACTTTCTGATTTATCTTCTAATGCGCTACTTTAGAAAATGCTTGGGCCAGCCTACAAAATTATTAGTAAATGCCTGCATCGGTGGTCCTTTTGCCTAGGATTTTGGGTCTTAGTACCTGCTGTTTGCATGTAAAGAGGGCGCACTTCTTTCACCAATAATTTATTGATCCCATGAAGCAAATCCGGAAAGACTCAGTACATTTACTGCAAGGCCTCATGGACCTTTTCCTCCCCCTGCTCCACATCTCTACCTGCAGGTGAAAGTTCAGGCTTTCAGTGTCTTCAAACAGGGCCCTTGCTTCATTAAGCTACTATCATTTCTACAGTTTTAACCTCCTTGTGGCAGGACATCTGTAGCTGTTGGTCTATTTGCACAAAATGAGACTGGCAGTATTTCGCTGAATAAATGATTTGATTTTATTAATTTAAACAGTTGATACTTGGGCTATCAACTTTTACTTTGACTCTTCTTTTTTATTGATGTGAAGAAAAACCATTTTTGGTATGCTGTTAGTAGAACACTTACCATATGCCAAGAACTATGGAACACCACGTTACCATTATTTTGAGGGAAGGGTTCATGTTCCCTACCCATCTTTTGGAAGACAAAAGAGTGACAGCAGAAAGAAATCAGCTGTTTTCTCTAAACTTGTTCTACATGTCAGGAGCCTTCTATGGATTTTAAAATACTTATTTCTGGGAACACCGATTGCAGTCTGTCTTTATACTGGACACAAATATGTGCAAGGTCCTGGAGATCTCAGAAAGGAGAACTACCTTGACTTAAGTGGCTCCTCCAATGGGAAGCAAACTTTCAACTTCAGCTTCTCTAACTGAGCCTGAGTGACAGGAGCTATGATGGTAGGAGGCAGTTGAGAGGAGTTCCAGGTAGAAACACCAGAGTGTGAGCAGTCAGGGAGACTCCCCTCCCACTGCATGAAGTTCTTTAAAAAAAAGGGAATTCCTTTCCTCAATAAGATATAAAGGCAATGTAAAGGTAGATAAGACACAGATACTTTTTCATTTTTCAGTCATTAGAGTGTCCTGGACCGTAATTCCATTGTTCCAAACCCCAGAACTGAATAGTTTCCTTTATTGAATGTAATAGCAAATACTAACCAGTATAAAAATGTTACCCTTGTATTTATTGAGAAAGCTTACCTCTGTATGCTTTTTCAATGCACAGAAAATCTAGTGAGTAAAGATACTCCCCTTTGGAACTCAGGGTATTAAAATAATCATTTATGCAAAGATCTAAGGCAAACCATGATGAACCATGTGCAGCATGATCTAGAGACAGAAAGCAGAGGTGCTCAGCCTCTCTTCTTGATCCCAGAAGTCAGACTCACTAGTAGATTTGGATAGTAGCTCTCAAGTGATCTCACTTGAGATCTCACGATCTCACTCTGAAAGTCACAGCATCAGTGGGTCATTTTGGATTAAATTCCATGCTAATGTTATGTTGCCTTGGTGATGATGAAACAGAGATACAATGGTTAATCTTATGACACACAGAGAACTACCTCATACCCTTCTTCCTACTAAAATGCAGGGATGTGCAAGTGCTATTCTTCATGGTGCATAGTCAAATACAGGACTGTTAAAACCAGCGCCCTCTCAGATACTTGCCCCTGCTTGGGCTCATCCATCTAGAATCCACCAGGGTCTCAAAGTGAAAGAAGCAATATCTGTGTCATCTCCAACTATGCAGTGTACCTAGACCACCTATTTAGGGGATAAATATGTCACAAAATTTTTGGGAACCCTGTGGTTTACCTTTAGTATTTAAAGTTTCATTTTATCACTGTAGTTGTTTTCTTAATAATGGAAAAGTATTAGGCAGGGTAAAGGGTTGGGAAAACACAGTAGATTTTGTAAAAGCAAAAACTATTTGATGCTTGTATCATTTTCCTGAGTTGAGAAGGGAGAAAAATATTAAAGGAAACAAGATCTCATACCTAGAGAGATAACTCTGAGAGCTAGAGAAACCACTGTGCCTTTTGACCTGGGGCCAGGAGCACATGGAAAGGTGCAGTGGGACCCAGGGAGATGATTGTTTCTTTTGTGGATACTGTCCATAAGTCACACAGATATCCAGGCTTGCTTGTTTTCAGCTTTGTGCTTATGAGATGCCAGATTTTTCTGGGGAATAAAAGGTGAAATCCCTGAGAGAGGAAACCCATAGTAGCAAATACAAAGGGCAGTGAACTCCAGAGAACATCCCATCAACATTTTGTAAAAACAAATGGTTAGCTTCTGAGCTTCCTAGTGTGAAGGCTGTCAGGCAGAACATTTTCTTTTTTTAATGCTCATCATTTGTGACCTTGTCGTAAAAGGTCACCTACATATGCAAGCCATCAGCAGTGAGGGGAGATCAGGAGGATGTGTGGCACCTTCTCCCATGCTCAAGCAAATTCCAGGGGGGTGGGTATCTGAAAGCATTTGGAGGAAATTACAAAATGCTTATGTGAAAATGCCTGCTTCATGGGGGAAAAGAAAGTAAGATTTAATGTTTGGAGCGTAGATTCTGAATTTCAGACCATGTGTCAATCAGAGCAAACTTCACAGACAGCGATAATAGGTCCTTCAGGAAGCATCTGCGGTACAGATGAAGAGGGCCTAGGCTAGCAAGGCCTCAAATTCTTTGATTTAGGGAATGAATTCAAATAAGAAGAGCTCTAGGAATGTCCCAAGACAATGATTAGTTTACTTGTTTCAAAGACTTTCACAAAATTCACAGACTAAATTTACGCCATTTCTCTCCCCTTACTTTCTTTCTCCCTCCTTTCTTTTCTTTGTTAATTTTTCCTTAGTTCCTTTCTTCTCTCATTCCACTTTTGACTGCTCTATTTCACAGCTGTGAATATGAATATAAACTGATTAAAACAAAGTCCATTAGCTGTATTTGAGCTCTCGAGCTCTCCCTCAACTTCTGTGTGTGTGTGTGTGTGTGTGTGTGTGTGTGTGTGTGTGTCTGTGTGTGTGTGTGTGTGTGGATATTGGAGGAAGGGATTGCTTTCACACTGAGAAAGACACAAAGCTAATATGTATAATAAACCACGATATGTATCTTACAAGATTTATTTAGAAATAAATACTTGTTGATGGAAGAAAGGCGTTTTCTGCTGTAATTGGGACATATTTCACAAATGAAGTGACTTTCCAGTTATGCCTTAACATAACAGTCTAGGAGGCTGTGACCAAGCTGGAGCGAGACATCATCAAGCTCCAGACAGAAATGTCCAATGGCCCCCAGTGGGGTAGAAACGGGGGGAGGGGACGGGGGACACTGCAGGGCAGCGGCACTGTGCTGTGTGGGTTGCTGCAGGAGAGGAGACAGCTGATATGAGACGGGATGTGTCACTTCGGGCTTTGGGTGCCACTCAAAGAGTTGAAGATAATATGTATCTGTGAGATCTTCATTGTCTAGGATAGAGTGGACGGATGGGCTGGGCAGCTGGGGACAGGCAGAGGGACCAGTTTGGGGAATCTGACTTTTCTGTATGAAAATAGAAAATATTAAGGTTCTGAAAATTCTGACTTTCTTTTTCTTACAAAGAAAGACAGCCCAACTTTAGTCTTCCTGTCTAAAATTTCCAGAGGCAGAGCATTATTGCTCGTATTATTTGTGTAATAGGATAATTATTTTTTGTTCAATATGGCTCACTGAGAAATAACAGAACATGATCTGTGTCTCCAAGAATTTTTAAATATGCTATTATTTTACTTACACAGATGGCTTCAGGCATCTACATTAGAGAAAATGAGGTGCAGCCCCCTGCTTTGGTCACACGGGTTCAACAATGCTAGAATGATCCATGCTGTCACCTCTGCCATGCTTGGGTCCCATTCTTCTTTTAGGGCAGTTGTTATTTCTGCAACTATAAAATGAAAAATAAAACTGAATTAGAGGAGGTTGCTATGTAAATTGCTTTTTAAGTCACCCAGCTAAAGCCACATGCCTGGCATCTGCCTGATAAGTTTCGAAGTTTAATGTGCTGTTGGTAGGGTCACTACAGAGTACACATATGCCCTGTGTAAAATTAAAGTTCAGGCTAATTATACACGATGTCCTCACCAGAGTTCAGCCTGGCTGTTGTCAAACACAGGTGTCATTATGGTTTTTGTTTGAAGTGGAAATTTTACTGTCAGACTATGTCCATAAATAAAGTAGATATATTCCAAGGATTGAGACTTTAGGCACCTGCATGTATTAATAGTCGTGGGCATCACAGATACACATTTGCACTTATTAACGTGGATGCTCCTTTTTATGTTTCTTCATTTCTCAGGTCCGTGATGGGGTCCAACAAGGAGCCAGATCTCGTGCATCTTGAGGCCAGAACTGTGGATGGTCGTAAGTTAATTAGCTTTGTCCCCATGTAAAGAATGGTGGTTTTCTGTCTGTCATGAACCAATGCTGTGTAATCACACTGATAACAGTCTGAGTCGTTTGGAAATGAAGCTGCTTCTTGTCTTCAGTAATCCAGAATTATTTCAATAATTTTTATAAATTCATATATTTACATATATGTGTATTCCAGATTTACTCATATTTGGATATTGACAGTGCTAGCACCATTTTCTCATCTAATCCAGGAATCTTTGAGTTGAAAAAAAGTTGCCAAATTCCTGCTTTCTAGAAGAGTTTGTGGTTGTTTACTTTTGATTTATTTTTTCAGTATCCATCAGATTCTATCCAGGAAGTACTTTACTGTCTTATTTAGGGATTCTTAAAATACTTGCACAGAACAGGAAAAAAGGAATCACCCTTTGTGTTTCTCCTGTAGGCTGAAGAAGGGGGAAGCCTTTGGAGAGAATTACTCATCCTTTGGGTGGTTCTTCCTGGCCCTGGGCAAGTGTGTTACAGTGAATACCTATGCGGTACAGAGGCTGTGGCTTCTAGTACACAGTATCAAAGGCAGTCAGGTGTACATCTCAAAGTCAAATCCATACCCAAATGTCTCAAAAAAACCACTTACTAACTGTGGAGATACCTAAGCTTTATATGCTTCAGTATTTGTCTACAAATTAAACAAGTTAATAATAGCGGCTCTTTATTAGCTCACATTGGTTTACCAGTTACCCTGTATCTGTAATTGTGTGAGGATCTTCCTGTGCTTTCCTACAGTTAATCTTCATGACAACCTTGTTGATCATTATTCCCATTTTATGGGTGAGAAACGCCAAGCATAGAAGTAGTAGGATGCCTGAGGGGCAAGTACATTAGATGATAGGAGTGTCTGTTCCCCACAGTTCTCTTGGGGGAAAATCAGACAAACCAGTGCATAGGAGGAAATCCTGCATGTGGTGCCTGCCTTGTTAAACATTTGAACAAAAGCAGTGTAAATTTCTTTCACCTTCTTTGGTCCCGAGGAACCTCAGAAGAGCTATGCAGTCGCTAAAGTTGTAATAGGCCTAGCTCAGGGAATATGGATAGCTGGAGGGAATGAAGAGGGAAAGTCTCAAGTGTAAGAGGAAGGGCAGTGGACTCCCCTGAGTCACCCCAGAGCAGTGAGGTTGTTCTGGATTGTTGGCGCGGACCCAGAGAGTGGCAGTCAGGTTCACAGGACATTCCCTGTCAGTGGAAGGGCTCCCTGCCTGCATTCCGTAGCTCTTCTGAATGCTAAGGCAGAAGGTATCAACTCTGAGCAAAAACTGAACAGGTCACTCATGCAGCCCAATTCCTCAGAAACCACATAGCCTTTGAGATTCCCCTGTGCTATTTTTCATTACTAGAAGTGTTCATCTGTCCTGGGGCATGATGAATATATTCTTTGACAGTCTGCAGAAGCACAGATCAGGGCCCAGGATGCCTGTGCCCTTCTTCTGCAAGTAAGAGAAGGGCTGTCAGGTGTGACCAGCCTGCAGTGTGCCTGACACAGCATAAGCTCAGCAGCTTAGTGTCTGTCCCCTCTCTGCTCCATTCCCTGCAGCAGCTGACTTTATGTTGGATCCCAAGGTCCAATTTTACTACTCACAGAGGCAAGGATAAATGCACCACTACTGTAAAGCACTCACTGATTTCTCATGTCTCTGAAGGGGAAGAATAAATTCACTACCTTCCACACACTTCTGGCATCTGCCTGTTTCTCAGCCTAATCTCCCCTCCATCCTCTCTTTGCTGCCTGCGTACTGGCCTTTAGGTTTGCTTTCAGTTCTTGAAGCATCTTTGGTTTTATGTCCTGGTACAAGGACCTGATACTTGCTGTTTCTTCTCTATGGGACACTCCAGGCTTTTTTCCCAGCCTTGATCAATGGAAGGTAACTAATCACGTATATGGACAGTCCTCAGGTTAGTAAGCACTCTTATATCTGAGACGCCTTTCTTAAACTTCCAACCTGATAACAGCTTCTTATTTTATTTCCTTTCACCCAACTGTGCATATATATATATATATATTCAGTAACTTGTTTATTTTTATTTTCATCTCAGTTTGAAACACTACATTCCACTAAGTTAATTACTTGATCACTTTTCCTCCTGACCGGTTTGTAAGTCTAAGGAGAGCACGAACTGTGTATCTCTATTCAGTCCTCTACACCAGGAGCTTACCAAGTGCGTGTTGAATGAATGGATGCATAGTTAGCCAGTAGTCAGAATTACCAGCTAGCTATCTCACCTCACCTGCCAGGCTGGGTGAACATTTTAGAGCATGCGTCTCAGACTTCAACATTCATGCAGCCCATCTGGAGATCTTGTTCAAATGTGAATTCTGATTCAGTGGGCAGTGCAGGAGTCTGCATTCCTAACAAGCTTTCTGATGACACCGATAAAGCCGGTCTTCAGAACACACTGAGTAGCAAAGCCCCACAACAGAAAGCTAATGAAAGAGCTTCAGGGCCTGTCTTCCTTCATGACGAGCTTTGTTTAGAAAGCTCTGGATGGGGTTGGTAGCATCCCAGATTGCTTTCATTTCCGGGCTTTGGGAATAATGCTGCTTTCCATCTTATGTCACCCCGTGCATATAATGTGTATTCCAAGCTCAGCAAGGCTCTTTCTTCTCCTGGTCTGCACACTTTCCTACTCCGAATAGCACTCCCCTGCTCCCCAAAGGCACGGCCACTGGAAATGATACAGCATCCTCTCAGGCTCAGTCTTCACAAAGCATGAAATGTAACAGTTCTCATTTTATTAATTTTATTTTACTTTCTTATTTTGTCAAGACAGCTTCTTCAGAAACTATCCAAGGCTGAAAATTCAATAAAGAGATTTAATTTGAAAAGTTATCCCTGTCAAAACAAAACAGAAACAAAGTACCTGGCAGTTGAAAAAAAAGGATCTAACTGTAATACTTGATCTTTCTTGGTTGATATCACACACTCTCTTTATCCCTCCTTCTCTCTCTCTCTTGTGCTTTCCTTTCTTCCTTCGGCCCTCTGTGTATCCAAGATAGTCAATAGCCATGATTCCAAGAAAAAAAATCGGAGAAGAAGTGGGAAGGACAAAACACAGACAGGTCAGAGTAGCAAAGTTAACAAATGGAGCTGGCAAGATTTGAGAACAAATTTATGAAAACCACCCAGGCTTGTCTGTTGCTCCAAGAATTCCAGTGTCTATGTAACCTCTTCCAATCACCTGACTGAAACACTCTCGTGTTTCCCCCTTTTCATTATTTAGCAGACAAATTATTTATATTGTAGGTTGTACAACTTACAGGCATATTCCACATCTTTTTCACTTTGGGTACTTAGTTAATTTTACTGTTTTAGTAATGTTCTACCCAAAGCACTGAGACATTTAACACAGAAAAACATTCCTCACTTGCTGGTGGGGTTGTAAATGTTTATCTGGGTTTGCTATTCAAAGTTTAATCTTGATCCCATTTCAGATGTCTTGGGATTACAATTTACAATAGTTTCAACTGGGGTCCCCAGGATGGAAGGGAGGGGAGCTCTGGGAAGCTTCTGGACTTTGTGGGAGCCTTTGCAGGGTGCCTACAGTTTTCCGGCCATCCTCTGAAATGTGGGTGCTCTATGTAGTATACAACTGGGATAGAGATGCTAATCTTTCTTTTTGATCTCTGTTTTGGGAAGTGAGCTGACAGGAGAGGCTCAGTTACAGTCCTTCACAGAGTAGTGCTGGGAAGTGTTGGGCATATTTATCAAATGTGTGGCATTTGTGATTGACCCCTATTTTAACCAAGGATGAACTGATGTATGTTCTGCCGTGATACAAAGAAATGTTTGTCGTAATGTCTCAGTGTGGGCCTGGATATGGCTTAAAAGGTGTGGGTATGTATATATCCACTATAGAAGAACACTAAAAACAACACCTACATTCTATGAATTTACTTAAGCATATCATACAGACACATAATGCATGTCACTAGAGAAAAACATTGAACAAACTGTCAGATTAAAAGTTTTGTAGAAAGCTGTATCTTATTTAATCTTTATTCTACTTCCAAACATAGCTCAGAGCCTGTTTAAGGTTTGTTGAATGAATGAATGAATGAATGAATGAATGAATATTTGTGGGAGTCACCAGGCACGTCTTCTTAGGGAACATCCTGAGAGTCTGTGGAGTCTCGTAGAACTAACAGATGAGCACAGTGAACTTCCTCCCTGAAATCGGTGTCATGTTTCATGTGTATATTATTTTGGAGGAAAAGAACATAGCTTTTATCAGAATGCTTCATATGACAATTACAAATGTATTATCCTATGTCTGTGCACACTGCCTCTGAAATGCCCTGCAGTGCTATACTGACCATTATTGCTTCTCCTTCTACTTCTGAAGTGACAGCAGCCTGAATGTTTCTGTCCCAGTAGTGGTGGATGACAGCGGGAAGAAAGGACAAGGGACAGTCCCTGGCCTCAGTGCCTGTTACTGTAAGGACTTTGCCATGCACTCATCTCTTTCACTAGGGAAAACAAACCTTGGCTTTTTAGCCGACTGTAAGAATGCCTGCTCCAAACTCTGTGAAGTGAACCTCGACTCAGCATCCAAAAGATGAAATAAAATCAAAAGAAAGGCACAACTCTGCCACTCTTTCTCCCCCTAGTTCTGTGATGGCTAAGAACTGGCAGTCACAGCTCTGGCCCTCTGATCCATTGACCATACTGGACAGTACATGTGTCCCTGTCTAGATGTGGGGAAGTGACAAGAACCTCAATCTTCATATCCCATGAGCTGAGTCACGATGCTTAGGAAGCTTTACTGTGAGCATGAAGCACTTTTATAATGAAATAGCAGTGATTTTTTGTATAAAAAATACAAAAAATAGCACTTCAGACCAAAAATAAAAAATAGTAAGCAATACTGGCACCTGCCAGCTGAGAATGACCCACCCCAGCGCAGGAAGTGGAGTTTGATAGGACTTCCTCTTCCTCCTTCCCCACGGTCCTGATGTA